ATACTGGGATGAAATAAACCTCATTCAACAACATCATATCATGTTGGTCCGAAGGTCGTGGGTTAAAATCCCGCACTAAGCAACATGTAATCATATGATGCCACTTTGACTGATGTTTGTTTCACTCCAGTCTCACCCTACTTAATCGTTTCATATAGCTAATAAACATAAACAAAGTTGACATCATGATTGCAGCCGACTTCCATAAACACCAGTGAAATAACCCCTGATTTTACAATTCTGTTCAAAATTTGAATTGCAAAGACACAAATACCGACACAAGAAGAGGTATAGACCCACAGCTAGATGCTCAAATATCACCACACAAATTCCGAACTCTAAGTGATTACTAGTATATAAAACAACAGAGATTTCTTATCCGACATTTCACTTTATTTTTTTTTTGGTATAGTATACATACATGTATTTCCGTTTCCATAATTTATACAGTACTATATTTTTGTTACATTGTTAAATGCAAATCAGTTAATCACAATTCCCAGTGTTATTCACCATAATTAATTTAAAAACAATTATATCATTACAAATAATATTATACAACATAAATCATCTAACTACAGCAACCCACCCACTCCACTACACTGCACTGCACTCAACTGCACTGCACTACACTACACTACACTACACTACACTACACGACACTACACTACACTACACTACACTACACTACACTACACTACACTACACTACACCGCACCGCGCCGCGCCGCGCTGTACTGCACTGCACTGCACTGCACTGCACTACACTACATTACACTACACTACACTACACTACACTACACTACACTACACTACACTACACTACACTGCATTGCACTGCACTGCACTACACTACACTACACTACACTACACTACACTACACTACACTACACTACACTACACTACACTACACTACACTACACTACACTACACTACACTACACTACACTACAAATATTGTCGTATAATTGCTTTTACTTATAATCACTACGTAAGTAATGCTATCATCGGCTGCGGAGCCGTGAACAAGGGCGGCCGACATAGTTCGTGAGGGTATCGATTCTTCGGTGTCTGAGTTTCGGTCGTGACAACAACTCTGTTAGGTGTTCTACAGATGTCGAAACTCGGTAGTTTCATAAGCACGAATGTCAGTCTGTTTCCGTTATACCATGGACGTACCGGTACCAAAACAGAATGAACCACTGATCAATTTGCTTTGATCATGGACGTACTGCTCTGATATATCTGTTTTGCTGATGATTATTTTGAAGTAATAAATAAACATTGATGTTTACTTCTAATTACGCTTAAGATTATAATCGCGTAGCCGGGTGATTCCTAAATATGTTTGCACTGTGCGTTCGGCAATTCTCGAAGTCGTTCGGCACATTCGGGGAATCACGTGGTCATGTGACATTTTCTCCTAACCTCAACAAAGGTGGCGTCGCACGTAGTGGAGCTCATACCACTAATTGAATTTCCATAGACGACAATGTTAACATATGACGAGATTGCTATATGAAAATGATGAACAAAATTTAAAACATGGCTCAAAAATGGGAAATCAACATGCCAGTAATCAACCACTTGAAAAAAACAAACAAACATGTTGGCCAGCTCAAACTCTTGCAAATCTCAGGTAAACAAGACACACCTACTGTATTTGGATTGCATCTAGAGAAATTCACTAGAAAATCACCAAGATTAGAACATTCAAATACACACAAAATAAACTCACAGTTACACAGTCGCTATAAAGTAGTAAACAAAAGACCAAATGTTGGTCTCACCTTTGACCCAGGTGATCACGTCCTCAAACAGGGAGCACCTAAAAAAAATATCATTGG